ATCATAGTGATAAGAGGGGGAAAATCTATAGTTGTAAAACACAGTTTATGCAATCAATTATATCTGTCGAAACCAATCAATATATAATTAATAGAACAGACAAAATGAGTTTCTCACGCACCTTGTCATTTAGATACAAGTCTCATTTCGCTTTTACTTTATCAGAATTTACGAGCAATATTCCCGCTCAATGTCGGATTAAACTTGCCACTGAGTCATTTTCAAGTTATTGCTTTCTCTGCGGTTCGTCCAATTCTCGAAGGGGAACAATTAACCGTTGTGGGTGGGGTAGCGTGAACAAAGAGTTATTAATCAGAAATAGAATATTTGATATTGAGTTTCGCTGCATTTGATAATGTTACGTATTTAGCTAAATTAATTTTGGATTTAAAAAAAATGAATGAGTTTTTTGAGTGGGAAAATATTTAAATGAATTAGTTGCTCGACGTAATGAGTCTAACTAACCATAATTTTGATTTTTAAAAATGCTTCTTCAATTAAAAGAGAAAGGAATTCACTAAGTTGAAAATATGTAGAAAGAGCTTCAATCGCAAGATCCTCAAGAGTAAATTTACGTTCAGATTCTTACAATATTTCACATTTCTTTGCAGATCTTCTATTATCACAAAGTGCTGTATTTAATAACAATAATGATTTTAAAAAAATTAAACAAAAAATAAAGACATAAAAACAAACAAAAAACAAAAAGCGGCTGGACTATATGTCGAAAACACATTAAAAAACACACAATTTTGATTAAATTTTCAGCTTCACTTCTCATACAAGGACAGTAGGGCAGGTTAAATTTTCCCTATTTTTTTTTTTTAGAAAAACAACATTCAACTCTTCCCTTTTTTTCCTATACGCTGTGATCCTTCAGAACATTGGCGATAATGGATCTCAGGAATTCCCTGTTCCTTTTGGGGGTTTCTTTTTTCTGCATTTCTCCCAAACACAACTCCACCATCCATTCACTCAAGCTAGACAGTTTATGATTTGCTCTCCATTGTCACTCTTACCTGACCTGCGGACATCAGTTTTCCAAGCCCTCTTTCCTCATTATGTGCCCCAGAAATTTCAACTATCGCTTCATAACTGCCATAGTCTCTAGAATTTCGTTGTTGCTTATGTTCGGTATATTGTATTCTCAGCATCTTTCTGTAGAACCACATTTATGTTGCTTCAAGTCTATTCTTCATCTGTGAGGTGATTGTCCAGTAACATATCAGTTCAGTACTCTTTTCTTTGTGTCTAACGATATTTTCCTGTTTCTTAATACTTTTCTCAGCTTTTGGAAGGCATCTTTCGCTATTCTAATGCGCCTTCGGATTTCTGTTTCACACTTCTCCGTCCTCTATTAATGGTATTTATCAATTCACCCACAGGAATTGAATGTGGCACAAGGCCTTTTTAATGTGGGTATGTCTGAGCCCGTAGGCCCAGCCAAAAATAAAACCCATCTAAACCCGTCCAAGCGGGCTAGTTCCGTCAACCTCCCCGAACGAAACCCTACCCTTCGGCAGAGCTTCGTCCGGGTTCCCCTCTGCAAGCAGAGAGTTCGACAGACACCCGACCCGGCAGCTCACAAAGCGCAGATACTACACTTTGATCCTAGCCACCGGGCCGAGCGGGTATTCTTTTTTATAGATACTCCGTCCTCTATTAATACGCTTCCCAGGTAGCTAAATTGATACACCTGTTTGATTTCCGTATCCCCAATCTGTAATTACCATGTTGGGACGTTCAAATCCAGCTGAAGCAGACCAAAAATTGTCTATCCCCAGAAAGTTCATTTTGACATCTTACGGATATAGGAAGTTGTGGAGAGCTATGATCGCCTATTCCGTGCGGCTCTTGGTTTTTTCACACGTTTTTAAGGTTCCAGCTCCTTGTTTTGACATCCAGTTATATAAACTCACCAGATTAGTGACTCGCTACCTTTCTCTATCTCTCGTGGCCGCAATATGTCCTGTGACAGTTAAGTTTTCCAAGCCTATCTTCCTCGTTATGTGTGCAAGTTGTGTTTCCTGGTTCTGAGTAGAAGTGTTCCTACATTTTTTAATGGGGTTCCACATATATTCTTCCGTATTAATTAAGACTTCTTCGTTGCTTACACGATCCTTAAAGGTTATTCTCAGCATCCTTCATCTATCTAAGAAAAAATGAGAAAAAAAGTTATTTCAACCTGCCATTCTCATTTTATTATTATTATTATTTTTATTTTCTTTGATTTCTGGCGTTTACACATTTCTTTCCGGGTCCCGCCCAGGGACCTAAGGTTAGAAATGGCGTCATGACACTTTCCACTGACAAAAAAAAAAAAAAAAAAAGTTTACATAGATAAAGCCCTTCGTAAGGTGTGGGCTGTACTTGTCAGAAGAATTTTCTGTATCTCCTTGAGGCATGGACTTCCAGGGATCCCTTCAATTAGTCTACTGGAATCTTTTCCAACCAGTCCTAGGGCTCCAACTACAACAGGGATTGTTGATGTTCCCATATGCCACATTTTCGCGATTTCTATTTCAAGGTCCTTGTACTTTGACAACTTTTTGAATATCTTCAAAGATACATTGCAGTCGGCAGGGACTACCATATCAATAAGGAGGCACCGTTTTTGTTTGTGGTCTTTAATAACAATATCTGACCGGTTGGCCTTGATTGTTCTGTCAGTGTGTATTGTGTAGTCCCATAGAATTGTAACAGGTCCTATCTCCGTAACCGGGTCTGGGTGGTGTTCATACCAGTTTCTTTCAGTTTTCTTCCCGTAGAATTTGCATATTTTCCAGTATTATTATTATTATCCTTCTCCCTCTTCTTCTTCTTCTTAAGCGACCATGGTTCTGCGAAACTTCTTTCCCCGTGTGGCGTTTAGCATTTGGTCACCACTTGGTAAGGCTCCACCTACCCTTTATTCCACCATCCATTCATACAATTTAGGTAAGTGGCTCGCTGCCTTCCCCTATCCATACGGCTCTCACTATACCTCGTGAGGATTACGTTTTCCAAGCCTCCTTTCTTCATTATGTACCTAAGAAATTTCAGCTGCTTTTTTTCCTGATTTTCAGTAGAAGTGGTCTTTCTGTTTGTCACTTTCTTTAAGATTTCCTTGTTGCTTACACGTTCCTAAAGATTATTTCCAGCATCCTCCATCATTCTAAGATGATACAGAATGAGAATTAATATTATTCATCATTCAACCTGCCATTCCCTTTTCATTCTTCTTCTTTTTATGCGATCATGACTCTCCACAACTTCTTGTCTCTTGTGGCTCATAGAATTTGGTCTCCACTTGGTAAGACTCCAGCTGCCTTTCGTTCCGCAATCCATTCATTCAATCTCACTATGCATGCGGCTCGCTGCATTCTCCTAGAATGGGTATTAATATACCCCGAGAGGGTTAAGTTTTCCAAGCCTTCCTTCCTCATGATGTGTCCAAGGAAATACAGCTGTTTTTTTCCTGATTCTAAGTAGACCTGTTCTTTCTCTTTGTTATTTTCTTTATGACTTCTTTTTTGCTTATTCTCACCGTCCATTGAATGTCCAGCATCCTCCTGTAGAACTACATTTGCTACCTGTCACAAATCTTCAGACATCAAATATTATAGAAGTCAACTTATGCTTCGAATTTAAGTCTACGTTTTTGCTTTTTTACAGTGCTGTTCAACTTGTAAAAGACCCAAGAGTCACTCCTGGTAGAAGGTTACAGAAAGAGTCAGTTTATGCTGATAGGAGGGGAAAATAACTGTTAACTATATACTTGAACGGGTTAAGCTTGTAGTGATCGGGGAAAAATCTTCAAAGAGCAGTGCTTCAAGGGAAGAAGCTGTTTGAATGGAACTTACTTCTCATCAATGGAATGTTGGTATGTCGGGTCTTGACCTTGAAAGTTAGAACTGGCGGAATCAAGGAATGCAGTTCGCCCGAGCTTTTACCGTGGAAGTAACGATAGATCAGCGAGTGCTTTACTATATAAAGCCTGCGAGGGCGAGGTTAGATGGCGGGAAATAATTTTCGGCAGAGACGCTTTTGGAATCTATCGATTCTGGAAAATGAGGACTAGGCAGTTCCCACGAAAATATGACAAGAGTACTCCATTTTAGGCATGCTCATGCTCTCGTAAATTTAAAGGATAGCACAAAGAGTCAGAGAATTTAACGGAGCGGTACAGGTAGCCGGTAACTTTTTTCCTGCATCTTTAGCGATGGATGGAGTTCCATTTGAGGCAATGTAGTTCTCTTGCGCAGTAATTGAGACAGGTTGAGGCAAGTAAGATAAGTAAAAAAGGCCGTTAACTACGTTATCTTCCGCGCTTACATTTCAGCAGCGAATGTATCCAAACAACGCCAGTAATGGCTGCCGCCAACGACGCGAATGAATCCGAACTTTTACTGTCGATAACTTCAAAACGTTAGATTTTATCAAATTTATCAGGCCAGATTCGAATGGAGAATGTACAATTATACATAAATGTAAGTATTCGGGAACTTTTAATGCGAATTGAGCGAGAGTGCTAAACTGTAAATTAACAAAATACTCATTGTTCTGAGCAAAGTACGGTGCATCAAGCAGGAAACGAACTTCTTATTAAAATATACCATAGGCATATCTCTACTCCATTATGTCTCCCAAAATATCCTCAATATAGAAACTTATCTCACAGCTGTATATCTATTGGAAGTCGAAAACTATTTGCGGTTTATATGTCTTTCTTTCTTGTAAGAGCCATTAGATGTTATTTACTGATGAAGCCTAAAAGACTTGTCAGAAAAAAATTAAAGAGGCAATTAACTTGACTCTAGGATTTTTTCTGGCATACTTTTCTTGACAAAAAAAAAATAAATGAGAAGGAAATCCCAGAATTTGGAAAAAAAAAAGATTATAAAATAACGACTGCGTTATAGTATTTCTTTTCATTTTGTGATTTGATATGTACGCGCGTTTGGGAAAGGATTTCACAACAACAATAACAAGTGAAGGGTAATGAATATAAACGAGCGACTTCAAGAGAAATAACGAAACGAGAAAAAGGAGACAGAAAGGAAGGGCACCAGAATGAGAGGGGGACACACAGTGTGTAGTTTAAGATAGTTATTAGAAGGGAAAGCGTAAAGAATAAAAAAGAAAGAAAGAAAATAAAGAGTTGCAACGAATAGGTAAGTGCGAACGAATAAGAAAGAAAGAAAGAAAGAATGAAAGAAAAGAAAAGAAAAGAAAGAAAGAAAGAATCGCAACAAATAGGAAAGCGCGAACGAATAAGAAAGAAAGAGAGAAAGAAATAAAAGAAAGAAAGAATCGCAACGAATAGAAAAGCGCAACGAGTGAGAAAAAAAGAAAGAAAGAAAGAAAAAAGAAGAGAAAGAAAGAAGCCCAACGAATAGGTAAACGCGAACGAATAAGAAAGAAAGAAAGAAAGAAAAAAGAAAGAAAGAAAGAAAGAAAAGAAAAGAAAAGAAAAGGAAGAAAGAATCGCAACGAATAGAAAAGCGCGAACGAATAAGAAAGAAAGAAAGAAAGAATGAAAGAAAAGAAAAGAAAGAAAGAATCGCAACCAATAGGAAAGCGCGAACGAATAAGAAAGAAAGAAAGAAAGAAAGAAGGAAAGAAAAGAAAAGAAAAGAAAGAAAGAATCGCAACCAATAGGAACGACTAAGAAAGAAAGAAAGAAAGAAAGAAAGAAGGAAAGAAAGAACAGAAAAGAAAAGAAAGAACCACAACCAATAGGAAAGCGCGAACGAATAAGAAAAAAAGAAAGAAAGAAAGAAAGAAAGGAAGGAAGAAAGGAAGAAAGAACACCGGAAATAAAGAATACACATTCTGAAGAATCTTGTGATATAGTAACAACTCAAAATAGAAGCATATGAAGATTTATTTGACTTATTCTGCTTTAGTGCTGAAAGTCGTTTATTTCTTTTAAAACGAGGTTAATGGTCAAATAATAAGAGAATAAATAGAAACGTAATAATAAACGTGAAAAAGGAAGAAAAAGCAACCAAGGCAAAGGAAAGTTTACGAAAACCAAAGTGAAAGAAAGAGAGAATTACCAAAGAAACGGTTGATGAAAGAGAAAGCAAGAGAAATGCGTGAGAAAAACGAAACAAGGAAACCTTAGTCATTTCCAAAGCTAAGAAAAAATGGTTAAAACAACTTGAAAAAGTGAGAAAAATCTGAAAAAAAATAGAGGAAGAATTTTTTTTTTTGAATATAGTGTAAGTCGAAAAGGTCGAGAGACTGGAAAAAGAGGTAAAATAATATAAACAGAGGAAAATAATCGAAACAAAAAAAAAGGGGGGGGGGAAAAATCAAATCGATCGAGTAAGTATAAGCGAAAAACAGAGAGAAAGAAGCAGGGAAAGTTATTAGGAAAGTATCAAGTAAGAAACCTTTTACAGCTAAGAGAAAGGCAAACTAAGGAAGAAGGTAAGAAAAAAAAAGGAAGAAGGTAAGAAAAAAAGGAAGAAGGTAAGAAAAAAAGGAAGAAGGAAAGAAAAAAAAAACAAGATAACAAATGCACGGGGGGGGGGGGGAAGAAAGAGACAAATCTACCTGCACTAGAGTCATTCACTTCTCCTTACAAATTGAGTGAGTGCCAATTTGTATTCCCAGAGATCATAAACATGGTTTCTCAAAAGTAAAATCAACCTGCCAGCTACGGAATTGTGGGTAATAAAAACCAATGAAGCGTGCGTTTTAAGCTATAAGCACAAGCTATAACACACGTTGGAAAGTCATTCTTTTTCATAAAGAGTAACCGTCATACGACAGGAATTCTTTGTATTAAGTTCACGTTTTCTAGCTTTTTAAAAAATTTTTTTTTTAGTAATGGATAACGGCTTGGATTAAGGAATCGGAGAGCAGAGTTCGAATTCCAGTCGATTCCGTTACATTGATTTACATGCTAATATCCTTTAGAAAGGTATGAATCCTCTTCGTCTCTCCCCACCTAAGGGTAAATAGTGGGATAGACCAGGTTCTATAGCCTTGGATGGCAACTGGTATACCGCAGAAAGAAATGGCAACCTACCACGGGAAAAAAAATCTGCCTCGTCAGTTATTTATCGAAAGATACATGATCGCCTAAGCGTGTATCACGCATGACACATAACTGACTGACTGATCACTCTATGCATGGCAGTAAAGCTTCTAGAACACAAAAGATTACAGGGTGTGGAAGAATTAGAAATAGAAACATTAATAATGACTGGGAAAGAGAAAAGAGTAATCAGGAGGATAGTAGATAGCGATTGACATTGCATTTAAATTTTTGCAGGTTAAAGTTGGCTGGAAAGCATAGAACCGGAAGGGAGTTCCAGAAGCGACAATTGCAAGAAAGAAACTGCTAGCGTAAAATTTACGGCTACATCTAGCCAGCTCAAGTGTATATTGAATCGGATCTCGACGACAGTCTAGTACTACGCTTAAATTAAAAATGTCTAGGTACCATAGCGAAGATCTCATCCGAACAATTACCCTGAAAGTATTTATAGGAAAGACACGGAGAGGCATCCTTATTGCAGTGGGAAATTGCAGTGGGAAAGTGAACGAAGCAGAGATGCCTGATCAGGATCAATAATATTGCTGATTCTTTGGATTTTATCAATGACGGGCACCGGACTACATGTGGCAGTCAATATGCATGGACGCATGGTAGGCTTATCCGGATGATAGAATTATACGTAAGATAGTTCTGGAGAGAAAAATTGTTTTTATATATATATATATATATAAAGTCATATGGTACGAAGTTTTTTTTTTTTGTGGAGTGGGGTGGGGACAGTTAAAATAAATCTCGAAATGGCATAAAATTCTGAGCGGCTATCATTATTTACACAATTTTTATTCGGGCTACTGTCGAGAGCATTCGAACCTACAAAACTTGCAAACAATTCTTACACACTTTATACCGAGAAAAGGAAAAAATGCTTATATCAACATAACATATTGAATAAAAAGCTTAACTGAAGTAGCTTGTCAGTTTTCTTTAATGAAACTTATATAAAAGAGGAAACGGTGCCTAAATACAAAATTACATATACATATTTCTGATCTATAAAAAAGAAACACATCAAATCCAAGAGAGAGAGAGAGAGAGACAGAGAGAGAGAGTGTGTTCCCCAAACCATAACACGGGTTGAGCGTGTTATAGTTTGGGGGACCGTCGTAAGATGTGCTAGCACGAAGTCACAAGTCATCGTGGCCGAGGCCTTGAGCATGCAGGTCTTGTTCAAATTTTTGATCACGCTAGATAATACACGCTTTCCTAGAAAGTGTAACTAAAGTGTGCTCCGCATAGTTGCAGTATAAAATACATATGCAGATTGGTATCCTCGAATACGAGTTGCCATATATATATATATATATATATATATATATATATATAATAAAAAGAAAAATAAAAAAAAAAAGCCAACTCTTAACAGTATTAACTACGAACAAAGCCACAATGTGCTAACCGTATTCGGAAATTAAAAACATCCCTACTGTACACTAAAACATGCACAGAACGCACACACTCAATTAAGCTGAAAAATCGAATCATCATTGATAATGGCTAAAAGTATAGCCGAAAGCGGTTGGAAATTTAAAACATTTGGACAATTTTTACACACCCTTTGTCCAGAAAATTAAGCTCTTGTTATAACACAAGGAAATTAAATAAAAAGCTTAACCGTAGTACCTTGTCAGAAAGTAGTACCATGCATAAAAGAAAGGTTGCTGCATATATATATATATATATATATATATATATATATATATATAAAAACGCAGGATAGTGGCTTGGATTGAGGAATCGGAGAGCCGAGATCGAATTACAGTCGAATCCATTACATTCACTTACATGGTAATACCCTTGGGAAAGGTGGGAATCTTATTCTTTTCCCTCCAGCTATGGGTAAAATAGCACGTGTGTTCTATACCCTTGGATGGCAATTCTGAATTCAAAACCTGCGGAGGGTCGTTTGGGGCCTTGTGGCACTTAGTGCACCAGGTCTCTGTATTCGGCCCTTCAAAATGTGTGTATGGTCCTGCACGAAACCTTCACCACTATAATCAAATCTCATGTGCTGTTGTCGTGCTGTTGGTTTCCTGGGAACTGATCTGCTTGACCCTCATACGTCGAATCCGAGTATATATATATATATATATATATTTCCGTCTCCTTCTGAGGTCTACTTCAACTCTATGCTTCTAAAATTTCCGCTTAAAGTCTGAAATTTTACTTAATATTTATTTACTTTTGGTTTCCTTGTTAGGTAAAGATAATTTCGCTTAACGACCAGTTCACACGCATACCAGGGCTTTTAAAGAAGAGTAGTTAATTATCTCTTGTTTCCCGTTTAAGATTGGTTTTCCGGTACCTTCTATAGGAAATAAACCCTATTACTAACACGATTATATACCTACATCAAAATCAAAATGTTACCATGTGAAATATTCTACAATCCAAATCATATCAAACACGCCTATTGAAGTCTTGAGTTATACTTAATTATTTGCGGCCACTGTACGTCTCAGAATTAAGTTGGAAACTCTACGGGATTAATTACCGGAGGGCGTAATCTTAACAAATGAAATTCGCGGAAAAAAAATCAGGACCTCCTGTAGTGAAAGAGATAATCATTTACCCCGAAAGAGAGTTCGGTTTCTGTGTGCGATCTGCCGAAGAAAAATTACAAAAAGTAGTCAGCAAAAATCTACTTCACTGACTAGAATCTATGCTAATGTTCTCCCCTCCCCTGAATGGCGTGATCAATCAGAAAAAAAATCTCTCGATGAATCAAAGCCGTTGTATTTCGCTTATAAAGGCAGAAGATTTTCTGAGCTGCGGGGGAACATGCGTTTTTTGCTCGTGAGAAGGTTGGACGTGTGACACCATTTTGTTGTTTCTACTTTCTTTGTTGGACTGTTACGACGGACTCGTTTGAACTGCGATTTGGCTACAATTGTTGCGGTCGAGAAACAGAAGAAATCTATTGCAGTTGCTACTATCAGTTGACAGTCTTTTCTTTACTACAACACCTTTCTTAGACAAGGAAATAAAGAAAGCATGAAAGAAATGGCTAGACATCAACTACAACAAAACAGAAAGTATGGTAGTCAGTAAGGGAAAAATTCCAAGAGGCAGGCGATGACGTGAAGATGTCGACATCAAACAAGGTATAGAAGTAAAATCTCTGGAATTTTATTTAACAAAAATGCGTATCTTATTAGCGAAAAACGCTTTCCAAAGGCTAAATACAATTTGGGCAGGCGCTGCCAAGACATATCTCTCCAGTTTTCATAGAATTCAAAAGCGCCTCCTAGCCCTTGTGTGTGACTAATTATTCCCCACTCTTTCTCATCCATAAGTGTTGAAGCTTGGATAAGCATGGAATAATAATAATACAACACAAAATGTACGTAAACAAAATGTATTGAAACAAGGAAAAAGGTACACAATATTTACAGTTAGTTTTGGTATATTCTTGGGAAGACTGTTCCTGTAGAATGGGTTGACTTAATCGCAGTCGGGCAGAGTCTCTCGATTGGATCTCTTCTTCCTTCTCCCTCGTCTTCCGGTACCAACCCATATTTATATCGGTCGGTACTCCACTATGTAAATTAGGTGGATCGTACCACAACAATAAGCCTCACACTGCTTTACTGCTACTTTCACGGAAAGAACTACATTCCCTGGTCCCACCAAGGGAAACCTTCTTAGCAAAAACACGCTATGCTACTTACATCGTAGCAAAGCACCCGCATTCCCTCCGTATTCTATAGAAGTAAATTCCACTTGAACGGCTTCTCCCTACGATTCCTCTCCCAACAGGAT